TTGATATTTAAAATAGAAATTTTCACCATCTAACACTTAAATTGGATGGTGGGGGAATGGATGATAGACCCGATCAAGATCCCATGGTTCCGTCATCCCGGGCCATCGTGGTCCCTGGTTTACTTAGTCAGAGGAGGTAGTCGACCCAACCTGACAGAAGGATCCTTGTCGGCAGCCATGGGTTGCTTCGTCCAAGGGGACCTTGTAGACCGGGGTTGAATGTTTGTCTAAGGGGACAAATTTGAATCCATCTTAGCTTACAGAGGGCTTTGTGCCCTATCGATCATATCCTATTGATTCATATCTCAAGGATTTAACGCCATTAAGGAGCGTATTGGCTCTGGCCATAACCGCTATCTGTGGTGCCATTTGGTGGCAAAACCACTCGGTTCAGAGGGCCCCGGGTCATAACCGTTTATCATGCGGTGCCTTTTGGCGGCAAAACCGTCGGTTAGAGGACACGTACCACGTCCTTACTGGCAGGAGATTGTTTGAGAATGGATCCTAATGATATTTTTTACTAGGCATTTGGCTCTTTGTGAGCTAGAGTTTATTTGAATTTCTACCCCGGCAGACTGTTGCGGAGGGTGGATGGGCTTTGCTTTAAGTTTTGGGATGGATATTTTCATTTTTAAATATTCTTGGAACTTTGGAATTTATTGGATTTTGGACTTTGTGGGTGCTTTTAAAATATTTATGAAATGGACCCCTCCGGTTGAGATCTGCATTCAACGTGGCCATCATCGGGGTGTACTTGAGGTCATTTCCATTTGATTGAACCTTGTCGACCCTATTAACTTAACGATAGGGGATCGGGTTTCTCGTAGGCTTTATGTCTTTGTTTATGAAATTTCTTTGTTGAAAGCCTTGAAGGCCGAATATGAATGTACAAAATAAATATCTGGTCAACTTTCGTGACTGCATATTTATCCGATATCTCGGACCTTGTCTACTCCCATAGTCCCATTTATTTACTTAGGAGGATCGGGTTTCATAGGAAGTTTAATTCTAATTTGTTCAAACATTTCCTCCCTTCTCCCAGGGGTGTCCTTTTTCGTACATCGAGCTGTCTTTGTACCCAACGTGCTTGAAGATCTTGACCACCAATGTCATAGGGGATATCAATACTTGTGCCCACAGTGGTTCGTTGTATCTACGATATATCCACTGTTGTTATCCACAAGTATTTATTTGCAGGGGATCGCTGCATCTACTACGATCTCCTAAAAATGTTTGTATAAGACCCATTATTTCTGCATCATATCCACCCTTTCACCAGTCTCGGGTGGTTTTGCTAATTGTACTTGTTTACAGGGGACGGTCTTTCTTCGTACACCAGGTTATTCTTGTACCCGACATGCTTGTAGATCCTAATCACCGTTATCGTAAGTGATATCCGTACTTGTGTCCACAGTGGTTCATTGTACTTACAATACACACTATTGTTATCCACAAGTGGCTTGTACATATTTACGGGACCCATTGTATTTTCTACGACCTCCTGAAGGTATTTGTAGAAGACTCATTGTTCTTGTATCATACCCACCCTTTCACCAATCTCAGGTGGGTCTTGATTGTACTTTTTTGTAGAGGACATGTCTTTGATTGATGGTCTCCAGTATTGCCATCTCAATCAACAGGCTTATGTGGGGATTATTACAGGAGTTCACACATTGAGGTCTTGTAACGTACTTTGAGTCACTATTAACCATATAAATGTTCTTGTAGTTTGAACTCCCTCGTGTGTGATTCAAGCTTTGTTCTTCGTATATGTTTGGATCCAAATACAGTTTCATTCAGACTTGAATTCATCAAATTTATAAGTCCCCACTTGATGTCGTATAGCCCGAGTTCAAACATGTGCTCGAAGTACATGTTCCGAAGTGCATGTTCAAATTGATTGTCCAGGGTCCTCTAATGTTGCACAGTTCGAGTTCCAGGAACAAGTTCAAATTGATTGTCCAGGGTCATCTGAAGTTCTTTGCAAGTTCATTTTCTTGTTCAAATGATTTGATTTTGGTTCCAGTTTGGTTTCATTTTATTTGAATTTGACCTTTAAAAATCATTTACAATTTTGTTCAGATTCAGGTCCACAAGTCCACTGTTCATCGTACAGGTCCTCTGCTCATTTTAGTTCAATTTCTGTGTATTTTTATTCGATTACAGGTCTTTTATATTGTTGCCCAAGAAGGTCTTCAAATTGTTCAAGTCTTTGTACATTTCAGTGAAAATTTCGGCAGCACCCCGACATATCCCCCGTTTGGGGGAAAATAGAGGAGCTGGGCCTTTCCACCACGCTACTAGAGCGTGTATGGTAGGTGTCCTTAGACACCGCGGCCGTACAAATTTCATCCCACCACGCTACAAGAGCGTGTATGGGGCCTTCAGCAGTACCCGTACAGAACACCAGTAGCGGCTCTCCCCACCACGCTACAAGAGCGTGTATAGGACTTACCCACCTCGTCGTATGCTTCGCACCGGGCTCCCTCCTACCGTGCTACAAGAGCGCGTATAGGTGGTTCCCCGGTCCGCTGCAAACGTCGAGAATGGAATTTTGGAACATTATACCTTTGCGTAGCAGTCGTCGGCGGTGTCGGTGTCGGTGTCGAGGTCGAGGATCGTCCCCACCACACTATAAGAACGTGTATAGGGCTTACCCACCTTGTCGCACCTGTTGCACTGGATTCCCTCCCACCGTGCTACAAGAGCGCGTATAGGTCCACCAGTGCATCGAGCACGTCGAGGATGGGGTTTAAGTTAGAAATTATACCTTGGAGACCGGCGGGGATTGTCGGCGGTGTCAGCTCGAGGATCGAGGCAAGGGAAATGTTTTATTTTGAATTAATTCAATAGTTAATATTAATTAATTATAATTAATTA